AAAAAATCATGTTTTTTGACAATTTTTTCGAGATAGCGGCTTCAATGTGTCCGACCGCCAATTTTTATTATCATATTCGGAATCAGGAGGCAAAAATACGCCTAAATACACTAATATAATTTTTTTTTGCGAGGATGTGCCTTTTCCGAAGGTTTACCGTAAAAAGTATCGAAAGTAACATTAACAACCGTCCTAACAATATTGTCAATTTTATTAGAAATAATGCTGTTCCAATTCTTGATAGATTTCAGAATGAATTTCCAAAAATTGATTCTCAAACAGTAAATTGAATTTTGTAGATTTAATTGGATTAAATTATCATTGGATTAATTATCAGCTGAACCAGCATCGGTATGCCTTTAAATTATCCCAGAAATGTTATTTTTCTTCCGGCACTTTTTGACTTGTCACGCGCACACTACTGTGGAGTGTGGACGATAATGATCTCCTCTTCGTTGTCTCGCGGATCGTCGCGTGATCCGTTTTTCGGAGAATCTGTGTATACTCGATATCTGGATCTTTCAATATAATTTCTTTGATTCTACTGAGCCGATACATTCTTAATTTAATTTTTGTTATAGAGTGATGTATCGTATTTGTTTAAGGGGCTACATCGCATTTCGGCCTTTCGCAGCATTGACGCTTGCATAGAACGCATTTTTACGCCTCTTTATTTATTAACCCGTAGTGGTCACATCTCTTAAAAATAACGTATTGGTCACACTGGGTCCAGTTGATCCGACGCAAAAAAACAGTCGCTATTTGCGTTCTACTTGATCTATTGACTACATCAACTCAAAAATTGCCTCGGGTCAGACAGACCCAGTGTGACCACTACGGGTTAAATTAATAATTTGCATTTAAATAAATTTCGATAAGTGAAAGCATGTTACGCGAGCATGAGTATAGGTAATATTTACGGATCTAAAGGTACACAGAAGACCGATCAGCTGTTGTAGAGAAAAAATGTAAATACGCGAACTAAGTAGCGGTCGAGCACAAAGATTTAAAGACAACAGACATGTCGAAAATTCGCTTAAAATCAACGTAGGAAATGAAATTTTCGAAAAATTAAAATCCTCATAATAGTAACTCAATTTTATCCATACGAATTAAGAACAGCAAATATTATGGCAACGGTATTAGATCCAAGGTACAAAATACTTGCTTTTAGAAATAATAGTCAAAAAGAAAATGCTGATAGATTATTTCTTAATACTTTTACTGCGAAATTTAATTCCAAATGATATGTAGACGAAAATAAAAACACTGATTCGTGGACGTCAAGCAATTTAGAGAAAGAGAACGATTTACTATACTTTATTGACAATCTTAAATAGATTACCTACGAAAAATCATCATCAACCGCTGAAGCAATAATATGTGCAAGGCAATATTTAGAGTTAAAAGCTTGTGAACGATCAAATTCTGGATTTCAATTTTGGAAAAATTATCCATCAGATATATTAAGATCATTAGCACATAAATTTTTATCAATCCCGGGTTTGTCTGTACCATCCGAACAAGTGTTTTCGATTGCTGGTCTAATTCTTACTGATCGCCGAAATAGATTGAAGTCAGAAAAATTAAATTCTTTGTTGTTTATACGCCAAAAAATTCATGGCTAAAATCATACTCTGTAAATAATTAAAGGATTGTTACAGAGATTATTTTAACATCAATTATGAGTTTATAATAATTTTCATAATAATTCTTTGATTATATATAATATAATGTTATATATTTATTATTATTCTATGACAAATTCCTTATAATATCTTTCCACAACAAACATTGAAATCTATAATACTCTATAAAAACTCTATTCGTTATAATACTCTATCAAATCTCAATAACATTAAATATAAAAGTTTATACGATCAGTTGATCCTTTTCAATTATAGAAAATGATGTTATACACTTATTATTATTTTATCATCTTATAATATCTTTTCACTAGAAACTTTGAAAGCTATAATACTCTATCAATACTTAATTATTAACTTTTATACATATTTAATGCTATTATCCAAATATTTTACAATTAATACATTTTATTTTTATGGTATCTTTTAGAACAGTAGATCATAATTTTAATTCATCATAAATATTATGGTAAGTATGTATAAAAATATTTAGTCTATATTTTAAATCTTATATACACAATATATATTTATGGCAAGGTAAAAAATAAATATTATATATATATATATATATAAAACTATAAAAATATTTATATAAAATATATGTATATTTTTATTACAATTGTAATAATCGCACATACTTTCTTATGGAATATCCCAGACAGCACAATAATATCTACACGTACAATATTTATCATTATCAAT